TCCATCCCTCTTGCTCATCTGTAAGTGACACACGCAATTAACAATCTTGCATGGGACCTTCTCTGTGTTGCCTGACTTGACGTTCATATGATCATAGCTACCGTAACTGAAGCCAATTTCTGATGGCCTGCTAACCTGTTTCTAGTTGCCTGAAACATTTTTTTAAGGCAGAACGCTTTTTTATGTGAACCACGAATTTTAAAATTCCAGCCTGCCCTACGGCCTACATGATGCTAGAGCCCCAAGATTTCATACCAATTACTGAATTTAAATGATATTATTATTAGAGCTGCAATATTTCAGAAAATTATAGGACTCCGACTTCTCTTGACTTGACACTACTAATCACAATTCACACAAGGGCTATGGCTGCATAATTCCAAATCTATAAAAAATTGGTCACTTTGGTCTTTGGAGCCATGAAATTACATTCAAAAGTATGAAATTCCAATCTACCATCAATGCCACATAAGTCGCCACTTTCGAAAAACCCGCTAGAATATACTAAATTTTGAAACACCAATAAGCTAAAAATTAAATGTAACACGTGTGCAGGGTTGCCTTATGTTCAGACTTTCGAGAAAAAAGTCACTAAATTTTTTTTATTGCTTGATCATATAATAAAATGGAAGTTCGCGAGAAACGTCTGGAGTGGCAAGGTATATAGTACCTACTTTAAAGTCGGCAGCGATATTAACAAAGGGTACACTAAAGTCGCCATTGCCTGGCGAGGTTATTGCAGTCTTTTCGTGACTAGCGCCTACGTGAGGTACAGTAGAGAAAGCCTCAAATTCACACGGAACCATCCCTCCAACTTCGGTCTTTCTGTAAGAAATTAAAGAACAAAAATTAAAATATTGCCTTTGGTTGAAAATAAACAAAACTCCAAGGAATATATCTTTCTTCTAGCTACCAGATTTCAGTCGATTTGCACTAAGATTCAATTTCATGACTGGTAGAAGTTGTCCTTTTCACTGCATCGAAGTTGGGAGGGCTGTTCAATGTTCATACCATTCATTCGCTTCTACTCTATCGAAAAAATACACTTCATGGATGAACAACGCATATGAAAAATTAGTCTGTTACCATGTACCTAGTGTAGCACACTGAGTGCGAATATCTTTGTACGCAGCGTGAACAATTTCTTTGAATCCAAAAAATGTAATTCCCAACCCCATCCATAACACGGGGGCCAATATTACGGCCGACAGAATGAGCGCACTGCCCGCAAGTAGGCGATCTCGACCGCTGAAATGCTTTTGTAGAGTCCGCTGCCAGACACTGAAATATTAAAAGCCAGTAACTACACCCACAAAACTAAGTCACAGACTTGCAAGAAATAAAGAGAAAGACCTTAATGTATTCCGTCAACTTAACCAACTCAAGATCGTTCCCTTTCGACAAGAGCCTAAGGTACACAGAAGTCCTATGTTCTCAGCAATGTACCTAGGCTCTGAATTACAGAGCTCGTGGTATCATACACGACTGTGTCAATTTTGTTGGGTCTTCTTCCCACCTGTGAGGTTAGTTTAGGACATGCATAGATGGCTTATGTAGGATTGGTTTGTAGTACACACAGAAACGGTCTCTTGTAAGAGTGTTTAATGTCTCACGCAAATTACCTCTTTCAACAGTGGTTAATGGGTCTCATGCAAATGGCCTCTTTCAAGAGCATTTAGCGAGTCTGTCGCAAACGGTCTCTCTCAAGAGTAGTTTGTATAGGTCTCGCGCGAACAACCTCTCGCAGGATTGGTTGGCACGCGTTAATGGCTTCTAGCAATCTTGGCATATTTAGCTGCTCATCGATGCGTTCTTTGTGTCTTGAAAGGGGCTCATAGACCAGCTTTTACCGGGGACGTGCGCAAGGCCTTCAGCAAGAAAGCTGCATTGTACTGTGAGCATTGTTCAAGATTTAAGGTTAAGGTGGCCCATTGGTTACAGTTCAGAATAGCGTGACTGGAGCAGTAAGGTGCGGGTTTGATCCCAGCTACCATGCTACAATCCTGGTCAAATCAGCGAAAAGGCCGGGCGGTTAAGCACGGCAAAATTAGAGCACTGAGGTGCGTGTTCGAAACCGCAACAAGCTGTGAAAATTCTGCAATGCTAAAAATCGGTGATGGTAGAACGTCCTAATGAACGCTGAAATCGCTATATATTACTATATCAACCGTCACAGACACCTATATAGCTCCAGCCATTGATACTGAAATAGATCATGGTAAAATATTGTTATATTTTCTCCAAGTNCGTGAAGCTGGCAAACACAGTTCTGCAGTATGCATTAAGTCAACCGTGGTTATGTTGAGCAGTAAAAACACTGAATCACTTTAAGAGCTGCACACGACCGTCACCTGTCACCACCATACACGAAAACAGCTCAGCAGTAACTGAGGCCTTGCTGCCTTGGACCTTGGGGTCAGCGCTTGCTAATAAAAAGATGATGCAATATACGAGGATTATGGAATAACCCGCGCGTGGCGCGGTTCACTGACTGGCGGCCTGCAACAATGTTAACTAAAAGAAGATGCAATATACAAGGATGACGCAATAACCCGCACAACTCACTGACTGGTGGCCTGGAAGGCTGGAACAATGTTAAATAAAGGATGATGCAATATGCAAGGACGATTTAACAAGCCGCGCGGGACACGGCGCCGCCTGGCAGCCTGCACCTGCTACGTTTATTGAAAAATGATGCAATAGGCAAGTAGCTATGATGCAATACAAATGACTTCGCTGTCATTCAATGATATTAGGAATTTTAAGATACAGCATAGACCTGTCACCTATCATCCTGTGGCCCTCAGGTAAAGTGATTATGGATTTATTTGCATTTATTTATGTTTTTCTACAAAAAAAAAAAACATAAAAAACATGTTTTTTTAGGCTGATGTTTTTTATTAAAAAAATTGTTTTTTTATTAAAAAAAACATGAGTGTTTTCTTTACGTCGCATCTCTAGACTGGAGCAGTGAGGTGCGGGTTTGATCCCAGCTACCATGCTACAGTCCTGAGGTCAAATCAGCGAGAAGGCCGGGCGGTAAAGCACGGCAAAATTAAAGCACTGAGGTGCGTGTTCGAAACTGCAACAAGCTGTGAAAATTCTGCAATGCTAAAAATCGGTGATGGTAGAATGTCCTAATGAACACTGAAATCAATATATATTACTATATCAACCATCACAGACACCTATATAGTTCCAGCCATCAATACTGAAATAGATCATGGTAAAATATTGTTATATTTCTCCATGTATTTATACATATTTGATTTTACACCGGCCATGACAGAAGAAGGAATATCGATAAAAGAATAAGACTATATGCGTAACAAGACTTTGTGTCCGTCAATAACTACATGCATGACACGCCCTTTCAGTTCTCATGCATATCCTTGTAAGTTACAAGCTGTGATAGATATCGCTAATATTTTGTGGATATATAGGTATAGGCATTGACGCTATTGAAATGTAAAGTTGTTCTGCCTGACATAAGCAATATCTACAGGAGCAATGCAAGGCGTGACTATCGAGCAGCAGAATTCTTGGTTCATCTGTTGAGGGCTGGGCAAATGCAAAGAATCTTAACGTGAGCCACCGTAGGACAAGTTCACAATCAATGGAGATGGTGGCTTGTTTGCCGTCCAAAGCTTCGTTGGAGACACTTCGGTAGCTTAACTAGTTGCCTTCTGGAAATGCGGCTTTAAACGGGCAGCGGCTAACGCGGGAAGATTCTAATCTCAGCGGGCCGGCTGCAAGAGCCCTATCCATGTCCTTCTGCCTCCACAATCTTAGTTTTGTGTCTTTTCATGAAGTCTTCTTGAATGGTAAAAAATAATTATATTAACATACTCGAACAAATGCATGTACCGTTTGTTTCGATCACGCAAAAATAACGTATGTAAATATTTTTCATCCGACATGAGTTTTATCCTTTAAAGTTCAATTAAGTGCATGAAATTGTTCCTATTTGTTTAAATCTCTTCATTTTACAATATTGAACGAGGTAGTTTACCTTATTAAGATTATGTGTAAGAAAGTCGACTTGTGTCACGCTTATTGCAACAAGCTGAGACACTTCAATGCAGTGCTATACCTATATTCACTTCGCGTAACTCCGATCGATGCAAGTGTCGTGCGCGACTTTTGAAGTCATTTTACAACGTTTTTAAAAACTAATTGCTAATTGTTGGAAAGAACATGAATGGGGAACGATTCTTGAATTATTTTAGGCAACACTCTGACACTACCAATACATTGTTAGTATAAATTAGCAACTAAAATTATCCTTCAAGACCTGCCTCATGAAGCAAATTTCCTATACAAACCTTGCCATTTATCCCAAATTTATATGCACTTAAGTCGCCAGGTATATTTAGAATAAATTAATGGCTATATTAAAGTGTCTTTAGAATTTGGAGTAGAAGCCATATGCCCATATGAACCTCTTTTTATTGCGTTTCAGCTTGGAATGACCCCGGGATGGTACGGAAAACATTTTCTCTGCAATAGACTAATAGAGCATTGCCCAATTGCGGTGAAGAGAGAAGGAAAAAATTCAAGTCGCTTGCAGCATTTTTGTCATGTTGATTTGGAATCTTAAAACTAATTACAAATTATATGTCGAAAATGTATTATAATATCTTTAAGCAATGTTAATAAATGTTCTAGTATTTTGTATATGCTCAATCAAGACTATGGTAATGAAATGTTTGTATAGGGTCCATTTCAATAAATATTTCCTTTTCCCTGTAGCATGGCGACTTTAGTGAGGTGGAGACTTTAGTGGCATTGACGGTAGGACGTAGGAGTCTAGGACAAAGACATGATATTAAATTTGATTAGCTAGTAATTTGAACAACTCAGAACAAGGAAAGGGCAGAATAGCTAGGCTATGTCTTATGTCTATGAGGCCCAGGTTCCATAATGAATAATCCATAAAAAATTATTTTGAATAAATTTCATTACATAAAATTAAAAAATTGAATAAAATTTTCTCTTACCTGAAATAGTCCAAATTTACCATAATTATATCACTATCTTGAGCATCGTCATCAGCTTCATCATGATCATCAGCTTCAGCCTCAGGTAGAACTAAAGGTTGACCTTGAGTTTTGGGTCGAATCAACTTCTTCTGCTTAGAAACATTTAACGATTCGTTATTGTTTTCTAAATCACCGGCTGTTTCAGCTTCTTGGTTATTCTTAGACAGCTCCATTCCAAAGATTCTGTAAGAAACGCGCACTTGACATTGACACGACAGAAAAAAAATCCGAAGATACGCTGCACGACGCACGCGAAAACGCACGGTGTCCACACGCATCAAAACAATGAAATGCTACCGGAATGGAAAACCGAAATAACGTAAGCAGGAACGAATTATTTGAAAAAAAATAATACCGTATACTAATGAAAATATTAGGTCATTTTTATTATAACCCATATTTGCAGAACATCTATGAATAATAGGACGAAACAATTTTGATGTTAAATTTCACGAATGGAATTTGTCTGGTTTTAATTGAATGGCTCAGTGGTTAAAGTTAAGAGTACCAGAACTAGTAGACATATAGTTCAACCATGGGTGCGGGTTCGATCCCAGCTCTGTGTGCCAGTTTCTGGTCAAAATCGGCAAGGAGGCCGGGCGGTAAAATTGTAACAGTGAATCGCGAGTTCGAGACCGCAAAATGCTGTGAATGTTCTGCGATGTTAAGAATCTGCGACAGGCCTACGGCCTACTAAACACTGAAACCGCTATTACATATTACATTACATAGCTCTTCTCGAAGCACCTGTGTCATGTGTTTACTTCATTCAAAACTTCTTAAACATATCAATATTTTATTCTAATTCAAGCAGCTAGGCCCCATATTACGATCGGGTGGGCGAAAACCTTTCCAAACATTCTAAAACTAGAATAATTACTGTAGGGCTGACAAATGTAGAAGTACGAAGTGAATTACACTCACCCATCATTTTTTTATTGATCTGAGTGCTTCAGAAGTTAGACAGAAAAATTATTACGTCGAATTTGAAAACTAATCATTTTCAACTAAAACTTCATTTTGATACCCACGCAGTAATCTGCTATTTATTGTGGCATGGTCATGAATTACAACTGGTATAGGTAGTTATCGATGACTAAGTTCACGACTTGATATGTAGACATGGGTTTCATAATAAGCGAAACGATCTGCTAGCCCGAAGTACTGAAATGAACCACAGTCAATATCTTTACTATTTGGTCACTATCACCATTACATTTCTATTCGCAGAAATATTATAAAGTTAATTATCAAGAACTGAATCTAAGGCACCTTAATGCAATGCGATGTGAGTTCCAGCGCATACTCAGACACAGACACAGTTAGGATAAAAAGATGAAAACAGTGCCCTACACAGTTATATTTATATAAGGTAGTGTAGTAATAAAATCAACAAAATGCCCGACGCGTGTCAGCATTAATCAGACATGTAAATCCATAGTATAGAAACTAACAATGATTACCTATAGAGAGCACTGCGTGCATATAAGGTATTAGAAGCCGGTAACCATTTGGTAATCACTAGTGAAATGAACACTTCTTAATAACCATTATTCATCAAGACAATCACAGAATCAAGAACTTTCTCCAAAAGATTACAATCCAATAAAATGGTAACGTCGCTTCGAGCTGTCAAACTCAAGGGAAAATCCAACAAATTAAAAGAATGACTCAAACCAAAACTTAGTAAAGCTTGTAATTGAATAAAAATCGCATTTCTTACAACGTGCCCCACAAACACAAGCCTACATGTCAATAAAACTTCCCTCTATCGGCACTACTGAAAGTTTGAGTCAAAAACCTCTTAGCTTTGGTGCTAAATAATATATTCAAATAAATCGTTTTATTTAGCTTTTAAATCACTTTCGAAGAACAATTACACTTTTACATGGTTTTTATTCTTTGAATAATTCAAGTTGAACAAACGACGAAGCGAAATTTCTTCAAAATTTCCTGTGAAAAAGTGTCAGCAAAGTGAAAGGAAAGTATGTATAACTAGAGTGACGAGATAAAACTACGAAATTTGAGTAAGTTAAGAGATTTGTGCATCCGAGTTGAAAAAAGCTTTAAAACGAATATAATAAGATATATTCATAAATTTTATAATATATAATGAAAAATATTTATATATCTCATATCAATTTTAGTCTCGGTAGGTATCCATATCTGATGATTTCTGTAACTGGTTACTAAGTAAGGCACTTGACAATGCGAATCACCCTAATCTTTCTATGCATATTTTCCACAACATTAACAATATTAAACAATAATGCACCAAAATGACATTGAATAAAAAGATAATACATTGAATACACATACACATGAAATCTCAACTCACCATTTCATAATAAGTCAGATGACGCAACAAGATTGCGACCGTTCGCGTTTGTGACGAATTTCTTCCAACAATAATAGGGACGAATGTAAATTCCTGAAAACTTAAACGAACTCCACAACAACTAATGTGCTATGAGAAACCAATAACAAGAAAACAATGGAGATTTATAATACATAGTCTATGGCAAGCAATAGAAAAGTTATAACAAAATAAAGTGTGTACTTAAGCTAATAACTATTCCTCAACAAAAATATAAAATGCTCGTACTTGCGAGTACATCGCTGACAACACTCGCGACATCGATCTTGCCGTAAAAAGCAAGTAACAAAAAGCGATGTCAAGTATATAAAAAAGGTGAGAGAGCCAAGCTAAGACAGATTATAACAATAAATCATAATAGAACCTGAACAAAAATTGGCGCCAATGAGCACACTACTTATAAAACGGACCGTTAAATGCATCATCTTTGAACCAACACATACACTAATAAACTGTAAATAAAACTTTAAAACTTTTACAACACAACCTCTGTTATAGATGCGATAATACTAAACCCAAGTGAATGTAAGGCCTGACGGAGGATTAGAGCTCTACATACAAATTACGCGTGACTTGGAATTCCATCCTTCAATTAGCGCTTAGTAAACCTATATAAATAAATGCTGATAGACGTCAGGCAACTACCTGCGACAACAAAATATTGATGGAAGGCGATAAGCGTTACTAAAGCTCGATATATATAACAGACGAGTTGATGTAAACTCGACATTGTATTGTATTATCCACAAGGATGAAAATCGACGCTATAAGCGCTAGGAAAGTGCATTCCTAATGTATAAATAATGCCTTATGGAAATAAAACCACGATGAGCTTCATGAGATACTGGCTAAAAGTAGCATTACGTGGATGTTGGTCTAAATATACTGAGCTAATTGGAACGAAGCAGCACCCCAGCTAAAGGAACAAGCCCATGTAAGACATGAATGGAAAATATGCCTGCAGTCTTTCCATTACGGCAGCCAGGTGTCATGTGGACGGCTAATGAAGTACGAGGATCTCACCAAAGTCGTTCAGAATTTTTAGGCGTGAACAAAAACCGATATTCACTTCAATACAGTGAATTTCACTAAAGGCTATGATTTTTTGAAGCGTCATTCACTACTGCATTACAGGTGCCAGGTGTCATGTGAACGGCTAATAAAGAAAGAGGATCGCACTTGAAGTTGTTCAGCAGTTTTAGGCGTGAATGTTACCGAATGTTTACTAAAATGTGGTTACTTTTAAAGATGATTATAATTTTTTCACTCCACTACTGAAGGACAGACCCAACCTCCAAAGGACTTCTCCAGTTCTTCAGCCAGCGACAGGCACAAGTGGTCGTTTTTATCGTTCGCAACAATCTGCAAATAATAAGTTTGATGAATATTGAGATTTAACACTCGTGTATAAAATCACAATAGAAATCAATTAGCTATCAACATTTTTTCTCGTGCAGTGCCAGATGCAGCTATGAAAAGTGCTTGAAATATTGCATGGCATTAAAATATTTTGAAAGAATCCATTTTTATGCAGTTTTTAAATTGCATGCTCATTTCTGTTTATTTCATGTATGTTCATTTATTTTTTTCCGCAAATTAGCAATGCTTCTCCTAGAATTTGTTCATTTAATGCTTGTCCTAAAGTCGTCAGAGCACCACCAGGCACCAACAAGAACGAGAAAGCGAAACTGAGCACAAGGATAGTTATTTCATAGAAAATAACAATAATACGTGGCAAAATTATGCGGTAGAGGTTATTGCGGTACATATCAAACAAGTGAGGAAAAAGCTATCGTCCGCGCATTCGTTGTTATCTATTTAGCTCCGCCTTTTTTGAGGTAGACTCCGATTACCTGAACCCCGAGGGGAAGACCAGCCTTGCTGAGTCCCTCACAAGCACCTGAACCCCGAGGGGAAGACCAGCCTTACCGAGTCCCTCACAAGTACCTGAACCCCGAGGGGAAGACCAGCCTTGATGAGCCCCTCACAAGTACCTGAACCCCGAGGGGAAGACCAGCCTTGATGAGCCCCTCACAAGTACCTGAACCGCGAGGGGAAGACCAGCCTTGCTGAGTCCCTCACAAGTACCTGAACCCCGAGGGGAAGACCAGCCTTGCTGAGCCCCAAGGGGCACTGGGTGACAGGTAGGTACGCTAGGTTGAACAGCGCCGTGTAGCAGAAGTTGAAGAACCTAAACAGCGGCTGGCAGTGGTACGGGGCGACCGTTGGGTGGCTCTGGAACAACAGCACTCCGTCGTCGCCCAGGATTTCCTGTTCCACAACCAAAATATATAATTCATCGTCAAATACAATGACAAAAATACCAAAATACATAGTCAAATACAACAAAAAAAACTTTAAAATGGCATAAAACCTATTATGAAATACATCGAAGTTCACTACCCGACACCTATGCTTTCAAGCATACTGACCACTAATTTGGTTCGTAATGAGCCCCAGTTTTCACTACCAGCACAAAGAAGATAATAATTATTCTAATGTTTGCATACAGATTCGATAAATTTAGGTAGGGATGGATAAGACACGTTATAACATCTCACAGAGCGTGAACAAAGGTAATTATATTATATTAATTGGTATATAGGCATGATCTGAATAATAATGTGTCAGTGTCACTACATTATCGGATTCCAAATCATGAAAAAGCGCTTAACACAAAGGAATGCTGTGAAATTTAAAATTTAAGCTCTAGATCTTTGAATAAATCCTTAAAATTCTATGTAACGTTATATAAAAGTTAAAAGCAACAGCTTAGATTTACATATCAACCAACACAACGAAGTTGCGTACCGATGTATAGGTCAAGAATTTTCCAACCATAAAAGAATAAAATTAAGAATGTAGCGACATCAAAAAGACGTCATTCGAAACAAAAATGAACTTGAGAGCCAATATTTCGGAGTCAAATAGAATATTAAGAACAGGACATGTACGTAATGTTATAATTCAAGACTGTTGGAGCTAGAAAAGTCCACCAAGATATTTAAATCAAGCTACAAGGCCTTAAGATACGAATAGCATTGATGACGGCAAATGAATGCAAAGAAATTACAAAAAATTTAAATATCAACAAGAAAACAAACCATAAGCTCGTGTCTGAGGGCGCCTGCGTGTTTGAGGAGTTAAAGGCGTGCCTGAATGATTGTTAGTTCAAATTACTAAGTCTTTAGGTACGAATAGCATTGACGACAGTAAACGAATGCATCAGTGGGCATAGAATTTAAATATCGCAAAGAAAACAAACCTTTAGCTTCTCCCTGAGGGCACCAGCCTGCTTAAGGAGCTCAACAGCGCGGGGATCGTCATCAGACGTGACTTTCTCGAGAGCGCTGAGGGCGAGGGCGGGAAACGTGTGGTGCGACTGCCCCAGCAGCCACTTCACGCTCTCCCACCACAAACACAGCGAACCCTGGTAAAAAGCGAAGCTTCTTAATAAAACTACATAGAAAAACATACGATTATTAAGCGAATTTCCATGATAAACAGAATTAATGAAAAATAGTCACTAGTGCCCATTATCAGGCAATGGACGCCGGTTTGAAGCAAAACTTGCAACATAAAAAAGAATATCAAGCTCATTAAATTATGTTCTATATAAGAAGCAATGGAAAATAAAAGAGAACCTAGCTGCAGTAGGAATTTCATAACACAATCAACTGAATTAATTGAACAAGTTAAGCAAAATGAACAAAGTAAGCAAAAAAGCAATTGCTAAACACCTAACAAAACTGAGGTGGTAAAAGGTTTAGAGAACAAGAGGCTATTCCCTTAAGTCAAAACAACAAGCTAATGAATTCATTTTAAAAACGATAAAAATTATATTCAATGCCCTATTTTGAACTAACATTACAAAAATTTGTTGACAAATAACTACAATCCCGGAGAACCTAATATAGTGGTTTTTACAATGCTTGGAAATATGGTCCATGACAAAGTTAGGTACTTACTTTTCTCATGACCATCTAATATAGAGGTTTATACATTGCTTGGAAATATGATCCACGACAAGGATACTTACTTTCCTCATGACCATCTCCTGAGAAAACTTTGGGGCTTGTTTTTCACTGCCCATCATGGCCAGGTACATTGGCAGGATATTTCTGAGCTCCTTCAGCTGCAACTGCACGGCAAATCAAAGTTAAGATTAAGACCTAAATATTCTATATATTATCTATGATCTATTGTGTTTGTAGTACTAAATATTCTGCATATGATCAAGCATTCATTCTGTACGTAGTATTTAATTTGCACCATTTTGCAACATTAAGCATTGGAATATCCATTAAGTGCGTCAATATGAATAAGGAATTACTTCATCCTATATTAGTTATATACTAGGAAATGAAAACAAGCTCAATTTTACTTAGGATTCTGAAGCCATACTAAAAAAAACGCAGGGTTAAGAAGAAAATACGTAAATGGGTAAAAATTCATCAATATTCATTACGGGACCAGATAACCCAAATTCAGAAGTTTATTAACAAAATTCCTGGGTTTGTACGTAGGGTTTGCAGAAAAAAAAATTATTGAAACATTACACAGGATCATAAGGATCGACTGCGGTCAGCATAATTGGAAGAAAATTACGTTCTGCATTATAAGAGAAAACTATGCTCAGCATTATAAGAAAAAACTATGTTCAGCATTATAAGAAAAAACTATGTTCAGCATTATAAGAGAAAACTATGTTCAACATTATAAGGGAAAACTATGCTCAGCATATATATGTAAGGAATGTTGGCCCAGGACAATTTGAAAAAAGAGGCAACTTAGCTAAGACTAATTCACAAGATATTATCTAATATTCATCTCAATTAACGTATAATGCCAACGATAGTAACGTCCTTGACGAATTACACTAATGATATTAACGTCGATAACAAATAATAATTAGGATAGCAACGTTCACGATAGCAACTTCATTAACGGGCAACGTTTACGATAGCAACGTCATTAACGGGTAACATTCACGATAGCAATGTCATTAACGGGTAACATTCACGATAGCAAGGTCATTAACGGGTAACGTTCACGATAGCAACGTCATTAACGGGTAACGTTCACGATAGCGGTCGTTGACAACTAAAATTAACAATAACGTCTCCTGCCTTCTTGGCGGTGACGCGGTGGGTGAGCTGCAGGTGGCTGACCACGGCCCTCATGGCCGCCCTCAGCTCGTGCTGCACGGGCGTCGTGAAGCAAGAGCCGCCGTCGTCTTCTATGTAGAAAATGCGCATATTTTCCGGCTTCACCTGACAAAATAACTAGAATAAATTGAAAATTTCAACTTTCTTATCAATGTCGCGTTATCAACTGATCACTTTTCTACCTTCTTTTGAACGAAGTGGAAAATGTTTCCCCACATCAGCGTTGATGGGGGAACCTCTTTTTACTTTCTTTTCAATATTGATGGAGTTTCATTTTACCTTCTTATGAACATTGACGCGGGTAACATTTTCTACCTTATAATCAAGGATGATAAGGGTAACATTTTTTACCTTTTTGTCAAGGATGGGAAGAGTTACATTTTCTACGTTCTTATAAACTTTGACAAGGGTAAGATTTACTACCTTATAATCAAGGATGATAAGGCGGAGCATTTTCTACCTTCTTATCAAGGATGGCAAGGGTAGTAACATACGTTCTTATCAACGTTGACGAAGGGAATATTTTCTACCTTCTTATCAAGGTCGACGAGAGTAGCATTTTCAGCAGCCATAATCTTGAGTGATGGCCGTAAGTCAGCGGCGTGTTTACACAGCGGACCAGTGGCAAGCATCTTCTCAAGTGAACCGACTGCCGCTGGCATCTGACCTCTGTTGCTAATAAGACCTGCAAACAAAATTAACAGTGAAAAACCTATAACACACAATAATACCATTACATATAAGGTCAATATATGGATTATTGTGGTGTCTATCTATTGGGTTCCATTTACATGTACAAAATTGCAACAACTATCTTACAGTCTGGTCGAAAGTAACACATGCCTAGCGTTTCGTTTACAAGTTAATGGAGAAAAAATTAGTAATGTAATTTTCTCAAGATTGACATTTATATTCTAGGAAAAGATACGGTATTTTACACATGTTCAATGAAAGCAACTAAAACCCGAGTTCTGGGAACAAATCCCCAGTGTTTGTTATCAGATGTGGTAGAAAAAATCAGCAAATTACCATAAACAGTGAATGATATCAAACTTAATGGAGTAGTTAACCTTGATCTCTAATTATTTCCCCAACAACCTGAGAGCAAGATGAGAACGTCAGAAAAGAAAATATGCTCAATTGAATCAAATCCAAATAAAATTTGATTCTTTATAAGCAGCAACAATATTTTATAATATTATATTACCTACTGATCCTTTGTGGCCAAAAATGCCATTGAAAAATGCCGGCATTCGGATGGAGCCTCCAATATCTGAGCCAACACCAAAAGGACTGCCACAGGCAGACTGTAGGCAAGCCTGCAACACATTATGATCATAAAAAACAATTGTCTTGTAAGGTGAGAAGAAAAATAAAATATTTTGAAACACAAGCCAATACAGGAAAAAATGATTCAGAGTAAAAAATGGAACAGGCTTGTACAAAATTACTAGACCACGAATAAAAAATTAATTTTGATCAAGCTTATACATAATCACTTTTAATTATTTAATCCTTTCCCAAAAGCTGTGACTGTACTCAGGAATGCAAGGAGCAATGAATAAAACTTTCCGGTAGCAACTTTCTAGAATGAATGCAAGAGTCTTGAGGCCATAAGCATATCATGTGCTTGATTTTATAAACTTACTTCACCACCAGACGAGCCTCCAACAATACACATGGGGTTGTAGGGGTTATTGGTGCGTCCATAAATAGTATTGCTGGTCTCCCACCACATGCAGAGCTCAGGAACGTTTGTTGTGCACACTAGTATGCATCCAGCCTTCTTCAATAAGCGCACAACATCAGCATCTTCCTCAGCTACTATGTCACGTCGGCCATACAATCCTGAAGTCTGATGTAGACCTGGAGCATTCAAGAGCTAAAGTTAACAGTGTAAATTTGTAGTGCATTAGGTTGGCACCATCCAAGCTTTAACAATCACCATAATCAAGGCAAATGCTGACCCCTATATACCCAAGTATATACCATGTACCATGTTAGTCAGAAATTGAAGTTTTTTCACTCAATCACCTTTTACTTGGAAACATTCCTTCATAGAAAAGGGCACACCAAGAAATGGAGTTTCTTTTGCCAGTGTTTCATTATCCTTTGAAGTATTTCTGAAAAAAAATCCAGTTAGTTAGGAATTAAAAATTTCAAGGGATAAAATGGAAAAGTTAATTCCATCATGAACAAAGAAAGTCAAGCCACATGCATTTTTCTTTCAAATCAAATTTTTCAAAGAAATAGACCAAGACTTTTTCAAAAAAATATTTTAATTGAAGATAACATAGGTACCTATTCAAATAGGTACATTTTCAATCCTATGCCATTACTTCAAAGAAAAAAATGTGAAAGATAGGTCAAAATAATAAAAAAAACTTTTTTTTAGCCATACCTCAGCTCACAATCAAGAGCTTCGGCTTCCTTGAGAGCTTCATCAAATCGCGTTTCAACAACACAGTTGAGGATTGGGTTGATTTCTTTGATGCGGTCTATGAAGGCAGCAACAACCTCTTGGCTGGTCACCTGAAACCAATCAAGTTCCATTAAAGAGCAACAGAATTATTGCAATGTGTGAATATATATTTCACTATACTCTATTAGTCATAAACTTTTGCTTATAAAACAAGAATATTACATCAGTACTATATATAAATAAATTGAATGTAACTTTTTTGAGAATGCTTCACAAGGAGTTGCAAAAATTTGACTTGACAACAAATACCAAATAAAGGGAATGGTGCTCATCATTCCTAGAATTCCACTTCACTTTCCACATGTGTTCTTGCACCAATGTCAACAAAGTCATTTCTATGACCTTGAACTCTAAGATTATCTCTGAGTTACAACATGTGACTGAGTTATTGTCCATATACTATAGCAACTATAGCAAGATAATTAGATTAGCAACATTACATTATTATTAAGTTTAGGTATAGGTCTAAAAGATGAGGCACAATGAGGTATTATAACGGCAGTCAATAAGGTAAAGTTAACAACACAACCATAAGTAGGACAAGCAAGCGCCAGAGCCAATAGATGTGGTATATGCGTGCAAGGTTAGGCTGCAATGGATTGCAGCTAGGAGGTGCTGTTCTATGACTGACTGGTGTCTGGTGGTAAGCTGGAAGAGCTTATATAGACGACATCACGTCAAGTTACAACAACATCACAGAAGGTGATGTGAGGGATACCACTTACAGCATTGGGAGGTGATATATAATCATTAATGGTAGGTCATACCTTGAGATGATCTGGTAGGATCATGACCTAGGTCCTACTGTCCTAGGACCTACCATCAGTAACACAAGTCAGCACTGAGCAGCAATGTAGAATTCTAGCTATTTCTAGGAATGGGGCCATGGGGTTCATATATTCAAAACTAATCCAGTCTGGTAACATTATCTGATTATCAGTTCTGAAATATTGTCTAATTATAAAAGAAAAATCTACTATCAGATTTTCAAGTCTAATTAAATATGAACAATTGTCCCTGTTCCAATATCAACCCTTCTGAATTCAAAACTGCTTGCCAGATGCTACTATTTAATTTGCCACTCCTCAACAAAAAATAGAATATTTCAAAGAATAACAACTTCTTAAGTTGGATTATCACATAATAAAAACATAGCAGTTTTATTCGTGCAACAAATTGGTGGTTCAGAAAATCAGAATATTAGAATAAAAATAGATCATTTTTATAGTCTAGCATAGCTGACAACAAAAGTGCTGTCTGTGCCCTGTGGCATACAGGCATAGATAGAAGCCATTCTGGAAAATTGGACAGAAGGCCAGAAGCCACCTACCTTATGTCCTTTGCAGTCCTTACCTGGCCAAGTTACCTATGCTATGAGTCAGCCTATGACCAAGACAAGAATATTCTTGCCTACCATAAAATTAAACATTTTTATTACTGTTTTTAAACAATATTAAAACAGCCTTAGCCCGTTTTTTTAATATATCTCCAAATTATACAAATTGCCTATAATATTATAATGTTAGCTATTAATAGCTAACTAGCAAAGCAATGTTTAAAAAATTATGCCTAATATTCTGTAATCTGTATCATATCTTGATAATCTTCATAGGTTTCAACAAGGAGAGACCTAAGCATCCACCAGGGCATACAGAATAGACATAGGCTAGCTACGTATAAACCTTCTTGTTTGATATTTTTCTAATCTAGCCTAATCATTGATGATCACTAATCTTCAATCAGTGATGATTGATATTGTTTATTGTTGATTTTTAATTTATTGCATTGCAATCAGTTCCAAATTCTAACTTCTAACAATACGGTCAATACCCTCAATACATTACTAGCCTACTAGCCTACTAGGTGACACAAACAGGCCACATCTGACATCAGGCCTACACTTCAGCACCGAGATCAATATGTTATGTTATGATTATGATATGGCAATTGTAATTAGGCTAGTGTACCTACTAATTGGTTCACATTTAGTTTAGACTATTTGACATCAAGTGAACAACTTAGAGATTGAATCAAGGATAGTAATTACCATAATGCATATTATCATATTATGATATTAGAACCTAAAGCCTAAAGGGCTAAAGGCTAAGCTAAGCCAAGACGGACAGAAAATATAGGTACACCTCAATGTCTTTTGACGATGGGCATAATAGCAGAAATCAAGTAGGTACACCGCTGCCATACATTATTCAACTTTTAATAAGACATTTTCTGAATTAACCTCACCTTGCGATCTCTGATTTTTGCAGCCAGTGAAGTGGCTGACTCCAAAAGAAGTAAATTTGAAATTGGTGGAAGTGATTTCCTTGGAGTCCATTTACTTATAAGTCGGAATATCATACACGACAGTATTTCTAAACATGTGCGAACTACACGAAAAAAGCAGTACACGAATTTCGTCATTTTACTGAAATAATATCGTGATTCGTGACTCGTGACCCAAGATATCCAGTAATCGGGACAGTGAAACTGTTCAGTCGTCCGACCTCGGACTACTTCACGACTCACGACTCACGAGTCTAATCATGTTACATAATACATTAAAGCAAATAAGAAAAATACTGTGGAAACAGACGTTAAGGCCGTGGTTGAATTAATACAACAATGTATTAATTCAACCATGGTTGAGGCGTAGGCCTATAGTGTGTTTTTACGGTGATTAAAAGATGTTCAAGAATTTTGTTTGCATGTTTTTTCTTAAATTAAATTGAAAGTGTCTCTGCGTTATGTGGGCGCATGAGGGCGACACATATATTATTTTACACTGGACAGCTATTGTATATCAAATACGCTCGCAAATGGTATTGTAATACCGCCTCCAACTCGGGCCAAAGTATAACTTTGGCACCAATTTATTCACCAATTAGTAATCATTCATGAGTAACGATTCTGAAATTCTTTTCCTTTCATTCCAACGACTAAGTTGAAAATTAACTGGATTGTAATTTTTTAGGCACGAAACGACGATTGTTCTTTGCCCGATGGACCTCAGATTGACAATAAAGTTGTCTGCTGTCTCGAGACGTCATATATAGGGGTTTGTCCAATTTCGTATCCACAATACCGGACTATATAAAGTCTGGTCTCAAAATTCGTCTTCCTCCTTGATTTTCTTGGAAATTTCGATTGAACTTGTTGAACATGTCGGACTGCCGGGACTGGTAATACGCCCATCCTGTCTACGCCACTTGCATGGATCCCTGGGATCCCCGCTTCCAGCGTGCGAAACAGGACCTCACTAGATCTATGGTGAGGCCTGAGCTGAGCCGAAGCAATGCGCCGCCCCCGAAGAGGGGGAAGATATTCACCGCATTCTTGCGGAATCTCTTCTGTGGCTGTTGCAGGCCAAGCGGCGGGAGCGACGGTGGCCGGTGAATGGTAGCACCCAATTCTTGAGGAGTTGGGGCGCTGCCTTCACCTGGCTACTGATTTGCTCCTGGGGGAAGGGGGGGGGGTCCTTCGGGACCCAAAAAATAAAACATCCTTCCTGCTGGAGAGCTGGCTCGGAACACTTTCCGTGCCTCAACTCTAGTCTTTTCGAAAGCTTCAGTGCTTGCTTTCCTGCCTCTTTTGGAGTTGCATAATTCTCGCTAGATGATTTATTGTTGACAGAAAACACAATCAAGCTGTGAGTTTCAAAAAAAAAGTTCAAGTTATCTACATTAGACATTACAGTAACTAGCAGGAATATTTTGATATTGGCTGGGGCAAGATCTGCCCCGAGACGCGGCCTGTCAAGGTAAGCTGCGTCTACATCAGCACCTCTGGGAAAATTTTGAAATTTCTCGGGAATAATTCATGGGTGACTGAAGAAAAGTTTACGCATATTCAGACCGATGAATCATTTCTGGCTTAACTCGTGAAAAGACAACATAGGCAGCAACAATTGAAGGATATGGTTAATTAGTTGGTTTAGTTGCCACAGGTTTACTAGCGCTTCAGCTAATTAGCTATCTCGCACCGAAAGTCAAGATGAACATCACCATCAGGGTGGAAGGTCTCAATTATTTAAAGTTTCTTAAATAAAAAAAATAATTCCTCACCTACAATAGGAAATATAATAGCATCTCGAGAAGACGAAGTGAAAGGTGAAAAGCAAAAGAAACCAAGACTCGAACAAGAAATCGCTTGCACGGGACGTCGGCCGCCCGCACGAGAGAGACAGAGAAGAGAAATGCAAGGAATCCTGCCTACTTGACCCCACAACTGAGACCTGCAGTCAGACACAGCGAGCTCAGCGGTGGGGCGCTCAGGTACAACTCTCCTAGGAGGCTAGGAACGCGAAATCCCAGAGGACTTCTGACGAGCACAGACACCCGTCAGAAGTCCCACCTCAGAGGAATTGAATGATATGTGTGGGATTTCTTTTTGTTGTAATTTTGGAGTTTGTTGAGTCCAATTTGTGTTAGATGCTTTAGCAGTCCAATATTTATTTGAGAGCTCTATGATTTTGAGCGCAACTCATTTTCGTGGCCAGTTTACTGACAGTAACTATTATGCTTCTCAAGCTGGCATAATTTAACATTGAAATCGACGATAATTAATTAGAGGGTCAACTTTTGAAGAGCTTGTATATTTAAGCGAAATAAAGAAATAATTCGTGCAAATCTGTTTTGTATCCTTGTCGACTGAGTACTGACTAATTATTATATTGAAATCTCGAGATCTTAATATAATATTGAGTCAGATCAAGCAGAAGAGGTTTACTTGTTGCGGACAAAGGGATTGCGAACTGAGTTTGGGTAGAACCTGCAGAGCAATTCAAGATTTAACAATATGCAATAAAGTGAGTGATGCATCAACCTTTTATTATCTTCATATCTGCCTGAAGTGCTCTGCGAAAATAATTCCTTATACGAACAGAATTTGGCTGTTGACAGTATTATCCGTTTTGACAGATTCTAATAACTGACTGATACATTATTTATAAGTTAGACAAATTTTATCAAACTTTTGTCTGAATTGAATCCGGACTTCACCTAAATATCGAAAACATTATAACACGTATAAACCATAAATTTCTACAACAGCACACAATTATAGCGAGTTTCGATCGTTGCCGTTCTATTAGTAGTATGTGGACACGAATTATTGAATGACTTCATAACGTAACTTCCGTTCGCGAAATCAATCTGTAAAGCGTCTAGTGATCCGACGCGATTCCACACCAATCATATATGAGCAAATAAATAGAGCGATTTGCTTTGATAGATAACTTCGTTGATCTGATCGTACAACAACTGGCAATATTCAAACATTTATATACCGGTCTCCATTCCCGTTCAGTTATAACTATCACCGTTACACGTAAACAGCAGTTTTTAATATTGTAAGATTAGAATGTCTCTATGCATTAGGGGATACCAGCAGCATTGTGGCGAGTTTACCACTAATAAATGGTTTGTTTGTTATCATAACGTACTGATACTATTTCTGGCATTGAGTATAATAAGAGCGTCTTCCGGAGATATCCTGGAGATGCCGTGGTCAGTAAGCGCGGCTTCTGGAGTTACGACCGACGGCACATCAGCAGCAGAACGCCCTGCCTGGCCCGTACTGCTGAGCAAAGTCTGGCGTAGCGTGTCACGAAGCAGCAGAGCCGGCGCTAACGGTAGAGTTAATAACGTCAGGCTTTCCTTCACCCTGAGGAGCAAAAGTGAAGTTAAGGCGTCCAGCTTCGATAATGGCCAATGAAATTGAGTTGAGATTCACGTACCATTAACAATAATGTTACTGAGCACTCTTTAAAACTGGTCGAAGGTTCAACCCGATTAAGCATTATTTCCCGAATGTTTGGCATGTAATTTCTTGAACGAAGTAATTAAGTCTAATCAGCAGAGATGAGGCATTGGTCATGGGCCCATGGCACCGATGTCATTTTACTAAGAATATCTCATACTTACATCGGGAAATGGTACTCTGGCTTGCTAGTGAATTCGATGAACATTGGAAACAAAGCTTTAGTCATGTCGAACTGAAGCTGCGCACAACCAACGTCGCTGAAATGATTTTGTAGCACGAGCTCTTCGAAGAGAAACTGGAAGGGAAGTTGGAACAATTAGTATTTCATGACTCCGCCTTTCGGCTAATAATAAGAAGTAACACAACCGGAGAAACTTTACGGTGAAGTACTCAGCCAAAGTCTCTTTTTTTCAAATTTCTGACAAGTGAAAATATGTACTGGAAATATGTACTAATAAAAATAAATAAAATAAATAAAAATATGTACTAATAAAAATCAAGGGAAATGTGTACTGAAAGTGTAGTACATAACTAAAGTACTAAGACCATCGTCAAATTACTGGACCAGCTTTATGTGTAATCAGAGAACTCGTCTTCGAGTGAGGTACCTCCGATCATGTAATTCATGTGGAAGGCACTTACTTTGTCCAGGAGATCAGTAAGTCGGTGCCAGAGTTCGGTGAAGAGTTCAGGTGCCAGCACGCGGCGAAGTGAGTGCAATTGTCGCGCCAGCACCTCCAGGAGTGGGCAAAAACTGGCTGACACGTCACTGCAACGAATGCTGCTGCCACTGGAAAATAAATTACAAACTTTGTAACGATAAACGAATCATCTTCTACCACTAAGATGATGCATGAACTGATGAGGGACAGCTCATAACTAATGAGTTTTTTTTAAGAGAAAGTATACATTGGGGAGTAAATAAGGATAATATAGATTATAGGTTATAATTTCAAATAAACCTAAATATCACGTATATCTTGCCAATTACCTTTTATTTGGTTCAATAAACCATTTGTCCCTCCGGTAAGGCATGAAGCGAGCGCGAAGGAGAGTCATGAGATGCTGCACGAGGGTTGCCAGCATCTCGTCCTGAACGTGCTTGTAGAGAAGCACGCAGTCGTCAAATACGCTGCATGCGGCCGCCTCAGCGACAGTTGTCAACTGTTAACAAGCAAGAGCAAGTTAAGCAGACCGGTATATCCAAGTTACTACTAAGGAAAAAATAGGCAAGATAAAAACGGGGAAAAATTAAGTCAGAACTAAAAGCAATGGGTGTTTATTAGTTAACTGAAGCACAAACTGAATAATAGCGCTCCAACAAACAATACTGCTTCAACTACTTCAACTAATATCTCGATACTACGTTTTTCGTGCATTGCATTTCAAAGATCTCTGATTAGATAACAGGAATATAAGCTATTGTTTATCAGACTGCGTTCTCACCGGAACAGACGGTGCGGAACCATGCTCCATAGCAAGATCCAATTCCCGCTGTTGAGCTCTGTACACGCCCAGCTCCAGGAAAAACTGTAAATTGTGAGGGGAAATTTGATTGCAAAGCATTAACACAGACTTGATTTTGAACTTTATACAATTTAATATTCCTCTTTGTAAGTAAAATGTGTTCACAATGACTGCAGAATTGCGATGGTGCATAAAGACACCGTGGCACGAGACTCCAATTGATGTTAGACAAAACCTAATTCATCAAATATGAAGCTTTTTTGATCCACTCTCTCAATATTAGTCCCAAACCAACGCTCTTATCCGCATTACAATTATGCGTTTGCGATATCTGGGGCCATACTTTCAAAACTCGCTAAGTAATCGTAAGTACTTACGCTTTATTTTCNAGCAAGGCAAGCTCCTGACCGGCATGTCGCCATACTCGGATCTGAACCACATTATAATAGTGAGTTAGCAAGGCAAGCTCCTGACCGGCATGTCGCCCCACTCGGAACAGAGCCACATTATAATAGTGAGTTAGCAAGGCAAGATTCTGACCGGCATGTCGCCCCATTCCTCGAGGGTGGAGATGAGTGTGTGTAAGGTGCTCAGGATGCTGGGGTAGTGTGAGGTCACGGGCTCCGCCTGCAGCTCCCGCGACACTTGCACGCACCGCACGCGATACTCATCCAGCAGCTCCAGCTGCACCTCCAGGAACTGCAGCCGGTGCCCAGGTTGGGGTAGGGCCTTGTACCTGTGATCGCATCGTTCAGCTGAATATTCGGTCCGGTAAACATTATGTGTCATGGTTCAGAATTTACTTATAAGCTTTGTGTGGGTCTTAATTTTACAAATGTGGGAATAGCCGAGCAATGCCGAGCACCTGTCTCTGTATACCAGTCTCATATTTCATCTCAAATTCCACCCTGCCTAGAAATATTTAACAGATGTCAAGAGGCTAACTCCAACAGACTGTTGCTTTAAAAATTTTTTCCCAATCCAATGTAAAAGCTTTATTAGTAAAATATCTTTGAATTTCTTTACGTCTCGTATACAATTTCCAAAATATGAAAACAATCAATTGCGCACGAATTACGAAATAGAAGTAAATCTAATTCAGTGAAGGCATTAACTTATCAGTTGCAGCAAATCTTTTTTTTCATGTAGCCAGTCCATACTATTAGTCCTGCCAGTTACGAATGTTAAATGCACGCACCTGTCAGTGACAGCAAGGAGGAGAGTGATGAGCTGTTCACCACAGGCACTCCAGCCGTCCCCCTCCTCCAGGCAGCACCAGGCCTCAGGGCTTCCCACGAGTTCGTCCATCACAGCCACCGCAAATTTGCGCTCCAGCGACACCCAATGCTTCAGCACCTGCAACAAACATTCATTTTTATAGCGCATATTAGTATGAAGAAATCATTCGAAACAAATCTTTATTTATAGTAAACAAGTATTAAAAATACGTACTACACTAACAAACCTGCATTTTCATAAGTATACTTTTTTTAAGAATATTGCAAAAAGCATAATAGAAATGCAGTAAATTTTAATATCTTGAACAGGATTTGTTACAAAGAGCACCATGTTAACTGCAAGGAAAAAATTTGTTAAGTTCTGTGAAGCATGAATATTTGCCTGAGTTCTGGGCCCTAAATCACCTGAGGCTGCGTGAGGACCAGCAGCACTGAAGGTTGACTGGCAGGATAAATCTATCAAGTTGTGAGGCCAAATCACCTGAGGCTGCGTGAGGACAAGCAGCACTGAAGGTTGACTGGCAGGATAGCCACAGGACAGGCGCAGCTCTTGCTCAAAGCTCAGCACCTCTTGCAGGCTGTGGCAGAACAGATCCTCGTCCGTCATGATGGTCGACAGATCGGCGGCCAACTTCTGTACCGTCAGCTTCACAAGCGCGCGACTCAACTCTGTCTGTGAGAACATGACTATGTGAATATAATATAATAAGTAAATATAATACAGAGGTCAACTTCTGTCCCGTCAGCTTTACAAGCGCGCGACTCAACTCTGTCTGCGAGAACATGACTACGTGAATATAATATAATAAGTAAATATAATATATAGACATGAACACTGAAAACTAAACAATTCAGAATGAAATCGGTCTGCAAGAGCATCAATTTATGAACATTTGTTTAGAATATCTGTCTGAATTTATGAACATAATAAAGAGAAAGGAATGTTGGAAATAATCAATTCGGTTCCACAAAACTGAGACTGAACTCTAAAGAAACACAAGATTATTGNCTGCGAGAGCATTAATTTATGAACATTTGTTTAGAATATCTGTCTGAATTTATGAACATAATAAAGAGAAAGGAATGTTGGAAATAATCAATTCGGTTCCACAAAACTGAGACTGAACTCTAAAGAAACACAAGATTATTGAAATTTTATTCATTGCCTAAATAATTATTTTCAGGACCTGAACACAGACTGCCCCTTTAGTTTGTGGCAGGTAAATGCATTTAAATCAGGTACTATTAGACTTTGAATTTTTGTTGCACTGTTAAAATAAGCTGGTAAATTAATTCAAAATGTGGGTATATGAATCTAATATCATTCGAAATATATGATTATTATTGAAATAGAGAAAGTTAGAAATAATAGCTATACAAAATACATATTGACCTGAGGATAAACACCTCAGACGTTGGTTTGGAAAACTCACTTTCTTGTTAGCTCCCTTCACTTAACTTGGAAAATAACAACTTGAAATGCACTTTAATCACAGTGAACTGCATGAAATATACCTGGGCTTTGACGTGGTTGAGCTTATGTTCGTCCAGGACGGGCTGGATGTAGCGGTTCAGGAAGAAAGAGTGGCTGGAGATCCAAGACAAGACGCGGGTGAGGCACCACTCAGGGTGAGCCACGCTGTTGGTCTTCTTATTGCCACTGAAGTGATAAGCAAAGCGCACCTGTACACAAACATGGCCGTGAGCTTTGATTCATTGCCTGAAAGATATAAATCTGAAAAAAACAGACATGTTCTTGGCAATTTTAATTATATAATACTAGTAGTGAGACTAGTAATTAAAATGTAAAACTATTTAAATCATAAAATGAGCTTGAAATATAACAAAGACACACTAGGTGCCAGAGCATCACAAGCGTCACATAATTAATTTATTAATTATTGCGTCATCCTCCTGTACTGAGTGATATTTTGATAGTTAATCTTGGTTCATCACACTGCAATGCCCCTGTCAATAAATAGACCAATAATTAACATCACCTCCAGAGGTTTGACGAGAAGTTTTAATGGTGCGAGTAGCGGCTCAAAATCTGCCACAAACTTCAATGCCCTTGTCAATAAATAGACCACTAATAGACCACTAAGTCACCTCCAGAGGTTTGACGAGAAGTTTTAATGGTGTGAGCAGCGGCTCAAAATCTGCCACTAGTGCTGGCTGGTCATCCTTGCTGGGGCTCTTTGATGGTGATTGGGACGTGGCAGAGAACATGGAATCGTTGGTTGAAAGAGACTCACTGTTGCTGGAGAGGGATAAATTGGTACTATTTTTTGCAGGATCTAGAGTATCTTTCCACAATGGTGAGCCACGCTTTTGGTCAAAGTTCACGTCTTGTTTCGATACAAGAGTGAGAGGTTTCTCGTTAAGCTGGAGCAAGTGAGATGTTAGCTCCTGGAGCTTCTTGATCTGGCCAGGGTCAGGGTCTGCCTGCAGCACTGTCGTGTTGGTGCTGATGAACGGATACTTCAGAGACTGCAGCACCTCGTCAAATTCTCTGGGTCAGTTACAGAGTCAGGGTGAGTAATATACGTATATACGGTACAAGACATAAGTAAAAAAAATGACATGTATGCAAAACAACAACATATTTAACAGCCTGGAAAACATCTTAAGAAAAGAAAAAATTATTCCATTCCAAGACTTATATGGAAATAACTGAAAAAAAATGAATTGGATGCAATTGTGAATTTTGTTTATGAATTTTTTTTACAATCTATAATACCCTACAATCACAATTATTTTTCATGCAGGATCTGATTGCTTGACTGTAGAATGTAGATAGTAAACTCTTGTTATGGAATCCTTGTCCTAAATAGAATGCTGCTAAGAACGCTTAGCCTAAACGATATGAACGATCAGCCTAAAAAATTAACATTGTATAAATACTACAAAAAGATAGTCACTTATCAAAAATGATCTATGCTCTTTAAAAGCTTTAAAATATTCTCAACTTCCAGCAATCAAGTGTGAACCAGTGTTTTATACCCTAGAATATCTATCATGTAGTGCACCAAGTCTACTGGATAACAGTTCTTTTCAAACTCTCAGAGAGTAAGTTTGAACCAGTCTGTTGTGTCAGTATGAAAGCATGTCCAACATGCATCACTCCAAGTCTAATGGTTAATAGTTCTTTACAGTTGCTGTTGAAATAGTTCTACAACTCACTGCGAGTAAGTTTGAACCAGTCTGTTATGCCAGTATGTAAGTGTGTCCAACATGAAGCGTTCCAAGTTGGAGCAGGCAGTGCGTCCTGAGACGTGCAACAAGATGTCTTGTAGCTCAGAGTAGCGACTGAGCAATGCTGAGCCATCGTCACTGCCACCACTCATCATGCCAGTCATGTCAGAGCTGCTCACCAATGGTTCAACTATTAGGAACTTTAATTATCTCCACTCAACATATATGGTTTTCAACATTTAGTTAACATGTAAAGTAGATGTTTACCAGTTATATTACTTTACATTTCAAAAGATGAACTCAAATTAAAAATTAACATTTGCGCAATTTTTTTAATTTTTAATCCAAAATAGTTTTTAAAGAGATTCTTCTGACTACTTGGGCTCAGCACTTAGATTTTTTTTCATGCCATATGATAATATCGTCTTGCCAGCCATAAATTATCTAGTTTTAAATATGATTTTAAGCCCTTCTTACATCAACATCAACATTAACAGAAGACATAGTACCTACAAAAAACAAGAGCTACAATATGATTTTATTCAACAATTACAACACAAGTGATTTTAGAAATATTTCCAACATAGATACAGTATCAAAGTAAATAACAGCCCCTCGTAAACACTACCTATATATATAAAGTTTCCAAGGTTACTATCATGGTATAACAATGGGCATTTGCAGGTGAAAATTTGCATCTAGTTTGCCTCTTGACTTTTAAGTACGTACAAGGAAAAGTATTAATTAAATATACATTGAGTTATTATAATACCTAATGTGTGTCTTACCTTATTTCCTGAATGGACTTCACCCAAGCCTGGTAGCAGTGAACTGCATCCATCTGAAGCATGAGCTCAAGTTCCCCCTCTACGCTGCCCAGAAGCCCAGATACTTTCTCTTTCTGGATGCTAACCTGGAAAGAACTTGCAATTTCAGAGCCAAAAGTTATAAATCTTTACATTTAGAGTATCAAATGAATGGGATTTCATCTAATGGAGGATTAATTGATTACTATATACCATACCAAGTGAACAGCAGTACCTAGCACTACTACGTATGTTGATGATGAAGATAGTTGATCTTTATGTTGATATGATTGATATAAACATCAAGTTGCTATCAATAAGGAAACTTCAGAATGTTTTACCTACTGATAAATGATAAAAGTTCTTATGTAATTAATTTATTTTTAATTAACTATGGAGGTTAGGCCACAATATAATTTACACCAGTAATGAATCACCAAATGAAAATATAAAATAAGATAATATTTATATACCTGCAATACCAAGAAAAATAATTATTTCAACCAAACCCCCTCCACCACTTCACCTAAGCATAATAAATAGGTATTAATTAATACTCCATAGCCAATATCATCTGCCCACATTTATATTCCTAACAGCATCAAAGGATTGAGCTAAAATGGGACCTAGGTATATAGTAGGTAGGTATATAAGTATTGTGTGTATTTTTTCAATTAAACATAGATAGTTTATTGATTATGCGTCAAGTAGATACAATGAAAGTGGAGTTAATATTCAACTTTTGCAACATTAATCTTTCATTGCTCTGAAAGATGTCTCATTCAATTCTGCAAGAACTGGAAGAATAATTGTTTCTTATCTGAACAACTAACAAGGGTTCAAGATTCTTAACACATACATAAACTACAGGTTGTTATAAAAAAATTCTTGCATCATACAAGTTATAAATCATGTTGTTAACCCACATCCTTAAGAATCTCTTCAGCTTCATTGCAAAGCTCCTCAGACTTGCTGAGCTGCTGTTCCGCTTCCAGTACAGCAGTGCTGATGTGATCAGGAGCTGCATTGCTCACAAACTCCAGCTGAAAAATTATAGATAATAAATTTAATTCTTATAATTTTACTTCATAATGTCATCATTAATATAAATTTTCAGCTCATTACTTCAACCAATGCATGTAGGTTTGAATCACTTCCAATTATCATTCTAACAGAATACATTACTATCAGGTTAAAGTTGTTACTCCCAATGGTAGGACTGGTATAAGTATCTCAACTTAAACAGGAGTGATTTTGTCAAGCATTGTAAGTAGAGATGCTAGAAATATATATGATAGGGATTTTAAAGGAAGACTGCTTTTCTCAACTATAAAGGAGTGTGTGTTTTTTGCATTTAAATTTGTAGGCCATGGTTTCACACAAGGATTACATAAAAATAAATTTCAACTTCAAGTTGCTACTATGTTCTATTGTATGCATTCTAAAATGTTACAGAAAGTATGGTATCCCTTTGGATTGTACTTCCCAATAACATTACAACTTTTTAGAAAAATCTTTACTCACCTTTTTCTCCATATCAACTTTGGTGTTGGAGAAGAGTTGTACAACTTCTGATATGGATGAAAGTTTTTTTGCATCTTTACCGAGTAACAGGTTAATTTGAGTCACTGCTTCCTTTTTTGCCTGCTTGGCCACCTCAGCTCCAACCACTCCAAGGTTCAGAGATGGTGAGGCCATTTTCCTTGTCCAGTTTAATTTTACTCACACACAATATTCCAACTCAACTGAAGTCATTTCCCATTTATCAATTTCAGGAAGAACATCCGTAGTTAGCTCATTTTAATGCAAATAATTCGTGGCACAAGCACTTCAAGTATATTCAAAGTTATTCTTATAATGTATGGCAATTATCAACCAAAAAATTCTACTTCACATAACCTCAAGCTAATTGTTGTGCTTGCAATATCAAAGAAATTAAAAATTCACTCATCACATTTCTCACTTCAAGTTATTAACAAAAAACATTCATGAGCTGGAGAATGATACTAGTACACAAGTGAGTAGTTTTACTTTGAAGGCAAACAGCCAAATACTTCATAGAAAAAATCATCATTTAGCACTTCACCATGTCGCAGAGAGATCCAATATGAGATCTTAGGATTTGAATAAATTCTTAACTTCAGAGCAATGTTCTGTAGATTAGATTCATAATCAGAGATAGGCATTATGTTTCCAAGTTCAAAGTAAGCATTTTGCCTTTTACCAAGAAATGTCAAGTGAGAAATGCACACTTGTTTGCTGGTTGGGTTCAAGTAAACAATGCCAACAAATTTCCGGAATATTTCACCCATAATACCAAGCATGACAACAGCTAAGGCTCCTGCACCAGTGAGAAGTGCTAGTTGTAATGAGCTTGGAGTGATTTCACTGAAGTTGTAGTAGACAGGCAGAAAAATAACAGTAATGGCAGTTTGGATAATTTTCATACGACAGACTAGCTGTGCTTGGACTATGTATGGAAATTTATATATTGGGACAAATCCTTCACCCACAATAGCAGAATGCACAGGTAAAACTTTTTCTAATTTAGATTCTTCAGGTGCAGCAGAAGAAATACATCTGAAGGTGGAAATGCCATGTGAATGCAATTTCACATTTTTACCTTTCAAACTTTGAGATAAAAATGCATTGCAATTTCTTAATGAGTTATGGCAAGATATAAACCTTCTTAAACAAGAAAATTGCCACAACTTCAACTGAGAGAATGCTATCATGACTGAGCAACTGAGTAAGTGAATTCTGTGAGTAAAGACAATCATATTAGGAATAGCACATATATACTACACTCATAATTTATAGGCAACATTTTGAAAAATCTCAAAATAAGGACACAGCTGAACAATTTCATCACTTATGGTAAGTATACAGTAAAAAATACTAAACTACCGTAGACCTTGAAACTTTTCCAAGCCTGGGCCACCATTAGGAAGTTTTCACTAATAAAAAAGTTGGCATGTTCAATTAAATAAGAGTTGTTTCTTAGGTTATCTTGAAGACAAATAAATTGTGACATACTGTCAAACGGGGTAATAAGGGATAGTTTTGAGCATTTTTTGTTAATAAGGTCTTAAGTCTTACCATGTAACATTTCATCAAGAAGTTTAGGCTCATTTTAAAGCTCTTTGAGAGGGCTATCAAATGGCATCTCCAAAAAATTCGATATGTTATTTTTAAGGTGCCAGACCCAAAATAAGAGTGTCCCGAATAACCCCTGGGAATGGGGTATTCTGGGACACTTGCAATAAAGCTTAATTTTAAAATGTTTGAAGCATGCAAAGTGTACTCATCCATTACTAACAGTACTCTGAAGGCCTCGTCTTTTATTGTAGAAAGTTTGAAGCATGCAAAGTGTACTCATCCATTACTAACAGTACTCTGAATTCCTCCTCTTCCTTTGTAGATGATGTAGATGTAGAATAAATGACATTTTCTGCAATTTTTATTTCTTAGGTTATCTTGAAGACAAATAAATTGTGACATACTGTCAAACGGGGTAATAAGGGATAGTTTTGAGCATTTTTTGTTAATAAGGTCTTAGTCTTACCATGTAACATTTTATCAAGAAGTTAAGGCTCATTTTAAAGCTCTTTGAGAGGGCTATCGAATGGCATCTCCAAAAAATTCCATATGTTATTTGTAAGGTGCCAGACACAAAATAAAAGTGTCCCGAATAACCCCTGGGAGTGGGGTAATCTGGGACACTTGCAATAAAGCTTAATTTTAAAATGTTTGAAGCATGCAAAGTGTACTACTCATCCATTACTAACAGTACTCTGAATTCCTCCTCTTCCTTTGTAGATGATGTAGATGTAGAATAAAAGACATTTTCTGCAATTTTTACTTGTTTTTCCTTTATTTATATCTAACCATATTGATACATTTTCATAATATTGATGTGATATTATTGTATCCATGGACTGCCATTGTGCATATACAACAACCTTGTCCACTGCAAGCTTCATATCTGCAGCCATGTAGCATTTCTTCTGTATCTGAAATTACAAGCCATTCTTACAGAATGGCTTGTAATTTCACACAATTTTAATTGGGTCAAGTGAATTCACTATAGCAAAAAAGATCATAAAAACATACCTGGAACAGAAAAGAATATCATAGTGCAAACCATTATATTTTTTGGAGAAATAAATCATATTTTAGGTTAATTCATTTTCATTCTATGTTGCCCGGTGCACAATTCTATCCATGACATTTATGCAAAATTTTGTGATGACTGATGATGCATAAATTTTTTGTTAAGTGCATTTTTTTCATTGAGCAAGGTACCTAAATGTAATCAAAATATTTTGTTTGTTAATTGATTTTTGGTTAACTGGAGCCTTTACTAACAGAGGTTCTACTGTAAATGTCTTTTAAGGAGTGTCCCTTATTACCCCATCCTGCAGAAATGGCATCATTTTTTTGTTAATGAGATAGGCAAATTCAGTCAATCACATTTTTAAGCCAACACCTGTGTGCAACTTTTATGTTAAAATTTTTTAATATGGCAAATATTTTTTTTTCTACAGGCCTTAGCAGAGGTACTTTTCCAAAATTGCACTTTTCAAAGTTTTTTAAAGGTAATAAATGTATGATTTCCTAACTTGCTTTATGCTACATAGATATTAAAAATGTTGAACTTTATGCCACTATTTTTAGTTTTGCATTATTTTGATTGGTATAGCTGCTACAACATTTCTACGAAATATAGGACAACTGTCCTGATTTACCCCACCAGTCCCTCATTACCCCGTTCGATGGTTTGGCAATACTCCAGTAAACATAAACAAACTAAAATTCAACATAAAATTAACCAACTTCTACTTACCAAATAGTAAAAAAAAAATTCCCTCTCAAAAAAAAAAATTAAACCTAAACTTGTAGCAATAAAATAGGTTATTTAAATAGCAGACAAATTCAAGAAATTTCAGAAACCAATATTGCAAGAAACAAAATAATTAAGACTCTTTCTAGTGTTCTGCAAAGTAGCTTTAGAATTAAATATTGAATATCCTCAAAAAGTTGAACTCTCTACAAAATTGCAACAAATTTTTTCAACAGAAACTTGTGCTTGCCCATATATAGTACAAGGCATAACTGAATTGCAGAAGATTTCTACTGCTGCCTGTCAAGATAATGAAGATCTACACAAAAATTTATCTAAGGTAGTTGTAAGAAAAAGGATTGAGATTAAATGTACTTACAATGACTTTTGGGGATGACTTTTGACTAACTTTCTGATAAAATGCTGGGTATCTTTTCATTCATTTTTGAAAGTGAATTCAAACAAAAATGGAGACCATCTTTTCACCCTATGTTTCCCTGAAGCCCTGATACAAGGACCTTCAGAATTATATATATAAATATATCTCTTAAGCAAGTTTTGCAGAGAATTAGTTTTATTTATTAGCTTCTTGTTAGTTTTTTCAATAAGTCATACTAAATTCTTCGTAGGTGTTGGAAGATTGAAAATACATAACGATACTAGTGCATTCTTCCAATATGCGGCAAGTGATGGTCTTGTTGTGGGCCTCCTACAAGTGATTCCTTGGTCCTCCAGACAGAAGGTGGCAGGTGAGACGTCGGCTTAGAGTAGTGGCTGTGAGCTTGATGTAGTCTGTGTTAGGAAGAAGTCTACAACCTTCTTTATTGCAAGAAAATGTATAGACTACATTGGTCTCTTCGAGAGGTCCTATTATTTTGCAAGGGTTATTGTTCATGGCAAGATTCCAAATTTTAATTTTCATATTTCTATAGTACCTAGATCAGCAGTTTAATTTTGTTGTTATTTGAGTTGTTTACAATGTTGTTGTGAACAATAGATTTAATGATCCGCTCATCTGCTTTATAGCCACTGGTCATTTGGTTCTGGTAGTGGTAGTAGATAGTAGTAAAATTTTTATTTTGTTCCAGTCCTTATTGTTTTGATCGGAGTTTTGAGATTTCCTCATTGATGGTACTATTTGTAAAGACATTGTTGACAAGGATTTGCATTTGTTTACAATTTTGTCAATTTCTCAGTTTGGTATTTAAATCACCTTCAGTTGAGCAGGTCTTGAAAGCTCTATGGACGAGGGTGCCTATTGTGCTTTTTTTTTTGTAGCTTTCCGGGCATTTGCTGGCAGCATTCAGGACCCTTCTGATATCTGTTGGTTTCCGATATACTTTTGTGACAACTGAATTATCTTTAACTTCCACAAATACATCCAAAAAAGGCAAGGTGCAATTTTGTCCAAGCTCATAAGTAAACTTCAAGACTGAATTCAGTTCGAAGACTATACGCAGTTTTTTGAGATGTTCTTCATCACAAACGACAACGATGTCGTCGACATATCTGCAGTACAGTTCAGGCTTGATCTGTCCATCTGACAAAACTCTATTTTCAATTTCGCACATATAGTATTCTGCAAATGTGGTACCAAGAGGACTGCCCATGGCTATGCCATTAGTTTGTTGGTAAATTTTGTTGTTGAGAACTTGAGAGTCCAGAAAGGTGATTCGAAAGTGCACAGTCAAAAGAGATCAAGGAGAATTTTCTTCTGTATTGGTGGAGCCAGCAAAGTTGAATTACTTGAATGTGAGTAGACATGTTTGGCAACAATTTCCAAGGTTTCTTCAGTTGGAACTTGGGACGTTGGTAAAGAGGCTGGTGACATCTAGCATAGTGGCAAAGCAGAGTTTTTTAAACTCTCCCTCAAGTTCGTTTTTGAGTCCTACAAGTAGACCAGCAAAGTATCATGGATACCAGCATTATCATACATAAGAAATTGTTATAAATCTTGAGTAAACAAGGAAATTAAAAATGAACTGATTCTAAAAAATCTCTGGTTTGTCACTATGACGTCTAGTGAAGCTAGAAGACCAGAAGGGCAAGTACCGAGTATGTGAGTAGCACAGATGATTTCCAAAAAGTCGTCCTTGGATTTTAAAGAGGACTGATCGTGCTTAGGATTAGGAATATACAGTTTTATTATGGCCTCCATTTCTTTGGTTGTCTTGTATA